CCTAACCACATACAGGTAATATACAAGTAGCTCTGTTATACCCGGAAATGTCAAGGTAAATCACTACCGATACAGAATGTACCAATGCAAAGAAAATTCTGATGATTGTGAAGCATGACCATTCATGATTTTAGAGGAGTCTTAGGTGGAAATTGCCGGTACGATTTAAATTCTGACTATTTTTTACTTTCAATTTAAATCACTGAACTTAAAAAAAAAAGAAACATACGCCCAAGATCAGAATTCTTCATGTAAGAAAGTATATACTTGAAATAGATTTATGATGAATAATATGCAACTGCAGCACCCCTTTTTATCAAAGTGTACATGCATGTATTTTAATGACTGTCCGTTATTTCGATTAAGAATGACAAGTGTACGTGAAATTCTATAGTTGCCTGTGAGACTTTTTTTTACCAGATATGCGACTTTTCGTATTTATATTTTCTCTTATATTACTCTCATTTAATATTTTATGCATAAGTGCAATATTAGGAATGGTTTATCCCCCCTCCCTTTTAAGCTAACTAAATAAATTAATCAACCTTCTAGCTGACCAGACGTTAACACATCTACTATCAGTCAATTCGGAGTGAAGTTTCTTTATTTCTTCAAATAAGCTTTTTGGGGATCATTAGTGTACGTCCAGTGTCACATATATTACATGCATGTCGGAACAGGAAAATTGACATGAGGTATAATAGAACCATAGATATAATAGCCATAGATAAAGTACTCAGAATTTGTCACACTGAGCCCCATGTAGTTTCCTTTGAAATATCAAAAGCAGGGCACTGCGCGTAGTGGCCTATGATGTAGATGATATTTGCCGACATCCTCCCAATAGACTAATTACTTATCATAATTATATTTAAATTATCGGGCACTCGTCTTATCAACCGATAATTAATATGCGTTACCTGTCTCAGGTAATAATATGCCGTGACGCGGAAGCAATATAAAGCGTCTGGTTGTAAAAGTTGTTCGGATTGTAATTTATTTGGAGAAAATCGGTCAACAAATGAAAAGGTTATGCTGTTGTTGAAATAATAAAATAGAGAAATCATGGAAAATGGACTTAACAGGCATGTCAAATTAAATTGTCATAGCACTTGCATCGGTTGCACTCGGAAAATAAGACCTGTATGATTGACAAGAGGAGACATATCGTTTACTGATGGTATACGTGGTTAAGAGGTCGAACCTGGTCGAATTTTTCTATGGCGAGTTAAAGAAATTTCTTTTTTATCGAGATTCAAAATAGTGTAATCATATTTTATGCCAGAAAGAAGAAATTATTATTTTTTAGAAAAGAAAAAAGATTTTTACAAGTGTTGAAACTTTCTGTCGTAACACGAAGTTTTAGAAAATAAAGAGAAAAAAAGGAATACATTATAAACTTATTAAACGCCGTTTGGTGAAGAAAACGTATGTAGTGGACACACTGAATACATTAAATAATTGGGAAATGGCACAATCATGTCTCTGAATTTGTTTCTTCTATATACCTTTCCGCTTACCATTTTTGTGATTGTTTTGCTATTAAATAGATGGTGGTATAATCTGATTGTCGATTTCATTTTTGAAGTAAACAATATATAGATTAAGCGTTATAATGGATGGCTATGATAAAATGAAAATATAGGAGTTTTGTCCTGTGTCATTCATTTTTTTTCCTCTTCCTTCTTACAATTGTGTTAGAGGTGTGATTCGTACTATAAATACAGCTATATATCCCTTCCGGCGCGGGACGTTTGTGCTTTTTTAAATGGACATTTGCGCTTTTTATATAGGACATTTGCGCTTTTACAATATTTACTTCTCATGACTTCCCTCCTATTTTATCTGAGCTTTGGACCTGGCAGAGTTAAAAAAATAAAAGTCGTTTTTTTATTATGGTTAAAAGTCATTATACGTAGCACATTCGTGTGTTTTAAAGTCTCCCGATTCACAATTTATTAGATATCGATCGACGGCAATTGCCAATGAAGGCTAATTAACACCAAGCGTGACATGTATATAATAAGAGGGTGATAAAATTTCGGCAAATATCATCTGCTTTTGATGTGGGTCCAGTACTTTATCTATGGCTATTATATCTATGATAGAACCATGTTCACATTATTACATTATTATATATAATACACAACCATTGAGATGATGACGACTTTCTTAAACTGTTCAAAATAATCTTATGGAAATAAAAATCTGTGATTTTACTATGTGCATAACTTTGATGAACCAAAGCAAGTTAGATATAAATAAATAAAATAAATAAAATAAATAAAATAAATAAAATAAATAAAATAAATAAAATAAATAAATAAAATAAATAAAATAAATAAAATAAATAAATAATTATTTTATTATAGTGTCACATATTTGATCAAACAATATATATATATACAACAATTCACAATAAAAACAGAGATCAAATATCCAGCCTTAGAATAGACTTATGAGACACTTAGATATCGACCTGTATTTAAATCAGATTGGTTTTGGATGTTTCTCTCGTATATTCAATATACATGTATATATTCTAAATTGCGACTATCTATAGTTCCGTAACCTTCTATCTAGGCGTATAATCCAATGATCGACAAGTGCGTACATTTTGTTAAATCAATATTTGTACGTTTCAAAATGTCCATAATTATTGACAACGAGTAATTACTTACATTTTCCCCAATTTACGTTTGGAAAATATGTAAATATATTTTTATTTTATCAAATCTTTTTTTGGAATTATTTGGATTTTCATAAATGTTCTTTACATCATAAATGTTATTTATAAACAAGCGTATGAGTTTAGTCATATATATAATGGCTATTATATCTATGGTTTAGTAAAGACTAGCATATCACTATCGGACACGCAAGACAAAGATGTATATTCACCTGATAGTTTCAAAATGGAAAGTTACAAGTTATCGGCCGTGTACACTTCTCAATACCCTCAGAGGTGAAGTGATGCACGAACTTGCTTTATGTAATTGTGTAATAAGAGTTTTAAAGCCCGACAAGAAATCGCTTGAATACCTGGACTTGTCAACTCACAATACCTCTGGGAACAATTCCTTTAGCAATGCTGGTGATCAGATAAGGGAAGGTCCGAATTTATTTAAATAAGATTATTACATAAATGAATTATGAACACACTAGATTTTCGAAAACATTTTTACACGGAACACTTAATTTATCACTTTGAACTTTTTAACTAATTTCCATTAACGTTTCTTGTTTCAAAAACTTAGTAAAAAAAAACAGTTTCAAAACGACAGACCATAGTACTAGTTATTCAAAAAAAATTATATATAATTACATTTTCCGTATCAAGTTAGTTAGGAAAGGTTGCATGCACAACCATGTCTATTATAATCTTTTTTTGTGACCCGGGAAACTGTTTAGGCTTTCCTTGTCGGGTAAAACAACCGTACGCTTGACAAGATATCGACACTCAATTACGGCTACGTTAGGTTACTGCTTGTTTTGGTCCTTTGTGGTTTATAGATATATCGTGGTTTCTATTCAGGGATGATGTCAAAATGGCCGCACGCGGAGAAGTGATACTCTAAATTTAAAATCGATGGTGATCTCTTATCTAGCAGAATTAAACTTTAATATTTATGAATTTGTGGTTTTTTATACATAATCAACATAATATCAATTTTTCATTTTTTTGCGAAGTTTCCCTTTAATGATAAAAACAGTAACAGCAATCTTTTAAAATGAAATAATACAAATGATTTAAAGTTATTAGTCATAACAGTAACTAATGGTTACCTAAATGATTCATTATTTCATAAATACCATTTACTGTAAATTCAGAAATTATTGTGTGCATTTATCATAACGATTTTTGAAGAATGGACAAAAATGCAAGATTAATTTTTGTGATTTCAAGCAAAATCTGCATACAGATATGTATCAGATATCAGAATGCGAGTTCTTATTATTGTGATATTCAACTAGTCGCATTATTTGCATTAATAAAAATCCTTCAGTAATTTCTGAGTTTACAGTATTTCATTTACAATATTCTTACCAAGAATGGTAAGTAATTACAGAACAAAAAATATATACATTTGTATTTAAAATATTCTGTTCATGAAGTGATATATGATGAGTTATAAAAATAAACATGTTCAACTTTTTATTCACTTACTATTTAATATCCCTCCTTTTTCCGTGAATGTGAAAAATAAAAAACAAGTTAAATTTTACTGTCAGGTGTTTATTACAATGCATTTTTAAACAATCATCAAGCCATACTATTATTAAAAGCGAAGCATCCTACAAACAGATTGGAAGCTATCCATAAAGCTATCAGATGTCAAGATCCTATCATCTCAAATTAAAATAGTGTTTAACTCTTAACCATGGTCAAGCAAAGGAAGATGAAGATTGATTAAAGGCTGGAGCTCCACCATGTCATATTAGGTTTCATGACTTTGAACTTTGACTTTGAAATAAGGTAGGATCAGAGGTCTCCTATTAGCCAAGCAGGTGTAATTATGACAACAGCTGAATGCATGAATGATGCTGTGCAGTTTTATCTATTTTTTCTTTCTTCATGCTGTGATCTTTAACCAAAAACCATTGAGGATGAAAGACATGACATCTTTGGAGCATTACATTCTTTATCATCTTAATTAATGCTGTTACTGATCTTTAACTTTAACTTATGCTGCGTTCACACGTAATTCGAATTCGATTCGCATTAACTAATTCGAATTAGTTTAATTCGCATTCGAAACGTTTAACGTCCAAACGTAAATTCTAATTCGAATTGCAATTCGCGTCATATTCGCTTTACTGTCCTAACGACGTTAACTTTTAATTCGTATTAACAAAAACGCATTTCTAATGCGAATTGGATAATGCGATTTAGCCAATTCGAATTAAAAAAGAAGAGTGTGTGAACGCGATTAGCGAATTCGATTCGCATTCGATTCGAATTCAATTCGAATTAAATGTACGTGTGAACGAGGAAGATTTCCAGTAAGTGAAGAAAGTGGTATGCATGATTATTATTTGGGGTAATTTGAAAATCCTTACAAAAACTTAACTTTGAAAAAGCTTTTAAATATTAAAATTTAACCGTTTTGGCACAGCTGTTGGAAATAACTTTTTAAAAGTTTTATTAAAACAATAAAAAATAAATAATACACATTGTTATATTGACCACTTGACATTTAGAAAAAATATACTCAATCCACAAATTTTCCTATCACAGTCTCAAATTACTTATTGAAAATTCTTTTAAAAATTCAAATTGTATACATGGAAATTTTTGCGCTGGGGTTACTTGACAATATTTCACACATGTGTAAATTGTAAAATGTGTGAAAATATCCCCTGCATGAATAGTTTGTAGAAAACCTCAATATTGCCATGAAGGGCAAAATTATGGTTTCTATGAGTGAAATTTGTCCCCATGCCAAAAAATTTATGCATTTAAATCGTGAAAATAAAGAAACCAACAAAATTTCCCTGTTTACAATAAGGGTAAAAACGGAAATACTATGATATAGAAAACTACGATTTCTCGTTTACATTTCATATTCAAAATTGGTAATTTCGGACATTCCAAACAATTTGGGTATACATGTACTTGCTGATATCTCATTATGTATTGCACAATTTGACGAAATATTCTGAACAGATTTTTGCTTGCATTCATAATTCATGTTTGATTTCAGTATTTCCTCCACAATGATGAAAGCCTTTTCCAGTCTCATGTAAACAAACAGACCATATCATAACTGGTACCACTGCTAACAAACATATAATCAGTAACAAAGCGTTCCGTAACACATTATTGCTTACTGTACTCCCAGGCCTGAAAATTAAAAATAAATTTCGATAACAAAAAGCTTTCTTACATTTTATTGTTTTCAATGCTAAATTCAGGCCTAAAAGAAGATTCAAGAATAGAAATAATTCATTTTTCAATTATAACCACTTCAACTACATTACAACATAAAATATACAGAAAATGATTACTGTAATGTATTGTTTATAAATACATATATAAAATGTTTTTAGGCAATGCCTGTGGCAAAGGGTTGTTACATGGGAGATAAATCTGATTTCAAAATGTATTATCAGTCAGAGTTGTCTCCCATTATATATGCTACAATTTAACATTTTGTTTCAGCTTTAACAAATATAATTTTTGGCCTCTTTGTTAGAAAGTTCTAATCATTTTATTTTTCATGCACACTGACCAATAATTGAGAAAAAATAATTACCTCTCCCAACATTGAATGATTTCACAGTACTGTTTTTATTGTATCCTGATAGTCGGATTGGTATGATGATGTAAGTTTAAAATATTGATGATTTATAATGAAATCAAATTCATCTTTTGATAAATAGTATGTGTCTCCATTACAATACAAATATAAATGTCTGCATAAAAATATACATTTTTTCTCATATTTATCATGTAAATAAAAAAACTGATTTTCAACACAAAACAAATTAATGTATATCTAAAGTTTGCAAATTTTTTAAAGTGACGTACATGTGTTTCACTGTTAAAATGAATAATGGTATGCATAAAAGTAAATGCCCACTGTAAAATTTTTATTCTTATTTAGGAAAGTTAATTGTTAAACTAATTCATCTATCTTCTGAAATACATAGAGCTTGTACATCTTTGAATTTAAATTCTATAACCAAATACAATTTATATACATTGTTTATTGCATGGCTTGTTTCAGGCATGAATAAAAAAGACAATGGTATCTACTTTGAGCTTTCCTTAGTTTTAATCATCTTAAATGAGGTTTTTATATTGCTTTTGGAATATCAAATTAAATCATTTTGGTACATGTTAATATTTCATCTCACACACATACACCCACATTATATCAGCTTCATAACAACAAACTCACCTTCCAATGTTGGTAAATTTAGACATACTTAACCATGTGATTATAATCAGTGCTCCTGATAATTCTCTGAAATACATTAAATCAATCAATTATTTTTATCAAATTCTACAAAAAATGAAATAATTTTATAATGATTAAGAATCTTTCTCTAACATGTTGCTGTTTTGTCTTTTTTGTTTTTCATAATTTGCCAGGGCATTCTTGGTTTGTCTTTGACTTTTCAATTTGAATATCCCTTTGGTAGCCTCTCTATTACAGTACATTTTAAATAGATGTGAAGGTAATAAGTGAAACAAGCTATCCTGCCTCAGGTTTATGTGGCTGTCTACATTCTGAAACAACACCAGTGATGGTCTTTCTTCAAATCTTTGATATATAAAAAAGAAGATGTGGTATGATTGCCAATGAGACAACTCTTCACAAGAGACCAAATGACAAAGAAATTAACAACTATAGGTCAATGTATGGCCTTCAACAATGAGCAAAGCCCATACATAGTCTGTTTTTAATCTCCTCCATTTTAAGACGTCTTGATTTAGAACTTACAATATTGTACATACCATGTGACTGTCTTTTAAGAATGTATCTTGACCTGAAGGTGCATTCTGTTATATTTTGCTGTTGGGTTACTGTCTTGTTGACTTATACACCACATGTTCTTTTAATCTTGTGATAATTCTGCCTCATTAGAAGTCATCAACAAAATTAATATTTAAATTGTAAATGTTTATTGTACATACCTTCCTTCTTCAAACTTAAGTGGATTGTTAATTCCTTTAATATCTGCTGATACTATAATGATGTACAAAGCTAATGCAATACAGAATCCAAGGGAAGTAACTGCTACATAGGACCAAACTAATGAATCTGAAAATTAAAAAAAAATATGTTGAACTTGTGCATGAACAGTGAGGAATTTTTTAAAATAGGACACTCAACCAACCAAATTTTCACCTTTGTAACGCATGCACATGAATTGTAAAAATGATTGATCAATATTTTGTGAAACTCTACAGCCCTGGCATCTTCAGTTCATCCTTTTATTACTGTAAATTTAAAGTGATGCTCACACAGGAACATAAATAAAAAAATAAATGTGCTTCTCCGAGCGCAGCTGGATACGACCGCAGAGGTCCAACCGTGAACAGTTGGGGCAAAAATGGACATAATATTCAAGCTTGATACAGGTCTGAATTTGGATTGTAATTAAATATTTGACACATTATAGGTTTCTGACACAGAATAAATGTAGCCAAAGAACTTGAAATTGGTTATATGATTTGAATTTATATTCAATTGAAGATTTCTTGCTGTCGTGCAATACACTGTGCTGTTGCACAATACTTAGTAAATCTGTTTATAGACTATATACAAAGAATTAACAAAATAAATTGACCCCCCCCCCCAAAAAAAAAATTTTCTTACCCCCACCCCTGTTCCAAAAAAAATATTTGAAGAAATTTTCTTTTTGTAAAATGTGGAGACATCCATACACTTAAACACAAGTTATTGTCTGAAAACTAGAAAAATGCTTGTTTTGGCCCCTAGATCCTTAACAATTTGGGCAATTACCCCTAAGAATCCCAACCTGCTACTTGTGGTATTGAACCTTGTGGTACAATTTCAGAGCAATCAAAATACATATACTCACGTTATTGTCTACAAACTAGAAAAATGCTTGTTTTGGGCCCCTTTTTGGTCCCTTATTCCTAAACGGTTGGGACCATCACCCCCAAAAACAATCCCAACCTTCCTTTTGTGGTATTGAACCTTTTTGCTTAAATTTCATAGAGATCCATACACTTAAACTAAAGTTATTGTCTGGAAATCAAATGTCTTCGGACATCGACGACAACCAAGATGCTGCTGATGACTAATAGCAATATACGAACGCAAAGATTTTTCTGTCGTATAAAAACTCTGATTGTTGTAATTTTTTTTACTTTTCTATTAAAATCAATGTTTAATTAGGTAACAGTACACCAAAGGGTTATAAATATGTAACAAGTAAATATCTCTATGAGCCCTAAATTTTACTTTTTTAAACAAGTAGTGTATGAAAAATCTATCATTTTCAAAATTCATGAGGTCCATTTCTCTGTAAAAAAAACTTGTAAAAACTCACAGAACAGATCACATTTGAATTGTACAATGGTTTCCTCAATAAAAAGAAGAGTTTTTCCAGTAGTCCTCTGATTATAGTGCTGGTCTTCCTGGAAGGAAGAGCAATGGTAAGAACTTTATATCTAACTATACCTACTTTGAGAATCTGGTTTTATACAGCTAACTAAAGACAGGATTCCAGGAACTGAGTAAACTGGCTGCAAAAAATAATATATAGAACTATAAAACAGAGTATTGTAAAAAGTAAAATAACAAAACAACGAACTCCAAGGAAAATTCATAGCAGAAAGTCCCTTATCAAATGGCAAAATCAAAAGCTCAAACACATCAAATGAATAGAAAACAACTGTCATATTCCTGACTTGGTACAGGCATTTCCTTATGAGAATGTATAGACAATCTTGTGGTTATTTTTTGTCAATGTTTCTTCTATTGTCTTTGAGTTTTTTTTGTGGGGAAGTTTAGACCTTGACATATTCTATGAACAACTGTCTATTATCAATGACCATACTTTGACCTCTAGATGACTTTTGGTTTTATCATTGGAATTCCTTTCCATTGACCCACATTTCTTTTTTCTTCGTCCTTACACAGAACTCATGATGACAGGTACATGTATAAAAGCTTTCAAGATATTGGACAAAAACACTTATATTGGCCAAAAAGTTTAAACCTGTTTAAAAATCATCATCAAAGGCAGGTAGCTACTATAAGGGGTCTTCAATTGATAATTTTAGTTGTATACTCGTATTGGCATGATTTGCTGATCATTTAGCCTCTGTCAGATTTTCTGAACCTATCTTTAGGATTTCTACCATAATGTTCTATTTTTAGAAATGTCAGTCATGTTGAAAAAATCGTCTAGACTTAAATACATAGATCAAATTTATTCTTTCAGTGCATGTTCACTTGTTTTTGTTAATATGTCTTTTGATTGAGTTAAGCCATTTCAATTGATATTTTATAGTGTGTCTTTCTATGTTATGATGTTACACTATTCTTTCAGGTAGGGTGAAGGTTGGCGCCTATTAAAACGTTTAAACCTGCTGCATTTGTTTGCACCTGTCCTAAGTCAGGAACCTGATGTTCAGTGGTTGTCGTTTGTTGATGTGGTTCATAAGTGTTTCTTGTTTCTCGTTTTTTTTTATATTGATTAGACCGTTGGTTTTCCTGTTTGAATGGTTTTACACTAGTCATTTTTTGGGGCCCTTTACAGCTTGCTGTTTGGTGTGAGCCAAGGCTCCGTGGTGAAGGCCGTACTTTGACCTATAATGTTTTACTTTTACAAATTGTGATTTGGATGGAGAGTTGTCTCATTGGCACTCATACCACATCTTCTTATATCTATTAAAGCTTGTGATAGATTAACAAATAGCAAGAATTGTTTAAGATCTTCTGGGATTGATTCTCTTTATTTTTTGTGAACCATTTTGTTTGGTTGTTCCCTCACTGATGGTCACATATTTGACAATTTTACTAACAATTTATATCCAAGAAAATTATCTTTTCACACCTAAATTTTTCATTGGATGATGTTGATAATAGAAATAAATAGGGGACAAGTAAAACTTGAATGTGACTTATAACAGAAGTCTGAATTGCTATGAGCAACATTACAGATGCCAGGAGTGGAGAAGAACTACTTATCCTATTGCAAAGAGATCATCCCAGATTTGTTATTGAGTAATGTTGCTCAATGGTTAAGTTTCCTGTGTAGTGTTTTGTGAACTGATTTATTCCCATCATATATTTATCTAATGGGTTTTCATTGTCCCAAAGGGATTTTATCCCCTGTTTATATTGTGGACAAGTTGATTTATGTACAATTTATTTATTTAAAAAAAATTAAACACAAGTGAACCAACGCAGTGGTAAATCTTCTGTGAGTAGATGCCATAAAGTGGATACCTCGGGTATGCAGGGTTGTTACGATAAAAACATAAAATGTAGAAGGTCCTGTAACAACAACACTTTAAGGAATGCTCCAGTAATTTATTGAGATCGACATGTTTCAGTGAGCGTTACAGGACCTTCTACAATTTATTTATTTGATAATTTTTCCAACTTTGTACTTCATTTATATCTATTTTACACTTATATTATAATGATCTTACTATATGGAACACATTTTGTATTATATACATATGGTTAAGTGAATCCAAATACTCCATGTAGGCGCTTTTATTTTTACTCACTACTGGCTATTGGACGAACTACTTATACTATATATACTGAGATTTTTATCTATATTGTCAATGCGGAATACGTTAGACCAGAAGCAACATTATGAGCCGTTGCCAGCAGTTTAAGATCTGTCATTGCCTTCTTTGAATATATTTAATAAAGTATTTGAACGTTCCGCATTCAGGTCATCTAAAGCCTTATTCCACCTGGTCACAATATTTAAGCACTCATACTTACCACCCAAATGTACCAATCACTATCATTTAACTGAAATGAAAAAAATATACATAACTGCAGTATAATATACTAATAATGATTTTTTTATTATCACTCTCCTTATCTTATGAACTTTAGAGAGAATTCAGAATTCTGTGGCTCTTTTAACAAAGAGTCTTCTGACTCTATTTGATGGTAAATACTATGTGGAAATGTTCATAACTTGCAAGTATTTTTTGTGAAAATAGTTTCTTAGTCCCATTTTCAAATTTACCTGCTTAAGACTCCTTTGGGCTTATTATTACATACATGTAGATGGTTGTTTCAATGGAATTCAGATACTCTAATCTTTACAGTAAAAAAGTTAACACAGAGTTAACAAGAGGCTACTTGAAGCCTCAATTGCTCACCTGGCAAAACAATCTTTTTAAATTTGAATAGTTCATGTAGTTGGTATCTGACAATGTACACAATGATTAGTACATAAATTACAGTTTATATAAAACATATAAAAATAAACAATATTTCTCTATTTTTGTTCAAAAGAAAGAATCTATCACAGTCTGGTTTCACAATCAGGACCCAGCACATTATTTATCAAAATCAAAATTTCACCTCTTTTTTCATGTTTACAGTCACAGTTTAAAAAAAAATCAAAACTTCAAGCAATTTATTTAAAAAAAATAATCTATGAAACGTAGAAATCCATGCTCTACCTAACTGTGAAGTACTTGAAGACTTAGAGTATAAAATTGATTTAATAAGGCCTTAATGTATATGGATGATTGATGGACAGATGTATTGATGTTTAATGTACTGTGGCAAATATTACATATATACCAGGACAAGAAAATGTTGATGTTAATATGAGTATGATCCCTGCTTTCTTCTAGGCTGTTATATTTAGTCAAATATTAAAAATGCTAGTCCACAAGGTAACAGTCACAGGGAGAATTGTAATACATGTACTACTGGAACAGATTATTCTGACTACATTAAACCAGTCTTTGCTGAAGCTCATAAATGAACAAGCATGGAGAAGCAAAAAATTCCAATTTCAGGTCTTTGGCCTAACAAAGGAACCTTCTAATGAAGCTATTGATACCATGAGACCACTGTGGCTGTTTAAATATATATGTACCTGGTATATAATAAATAGGATGTATATATGGACCAATACTGCTAGATACTTACATTAACAAAGGCAGCTAATAGGAAAAAGACTGCCATTATGGCATTAATGGCTCTCCATATTTTCACTCCATGTTGTACTTTTATAACATCCTCTTCAGGAGGTGTGATTCTGTACTCTCCCTTCATGGTCTTAATATAAACATGATGAAGTTATTAAACACATTTCACATATAAAAATAAAATGCTCCGCAGGGCGCAGCTTGATACGACCGCAGAGGTCGAACCCTGAACAGTTGGGGCAAGTATGGACACAACATTCAAGCTTGATACAGCTCTGAATTTGGATTGTGATTAAATATTTGACACAGCATAGGTTTCTGACACAGAATGAATGTGGTCTAAGAACTTAAAAATTTTAAATTGGACATTCACCTACATGTATTATGGTCCAATATCCAAAATCTAAATACATGGTTAGATTCAGCATATCAAAGAACCCCAAGAATTCAATTTTTGATGAAATCAAACAAAGTTTAATTTTGGACCCTTTTGACCTCAATGTGGACAAAGTTGATAACGGGGCCCAAAAATCTAAATACATGGTTAGATTCAGCATATCAAAGAACCCCATATATTCAATTTTTGTTGAAATCAAACAAAGTTTAATTTTGGACCCCGAATTGGACCAACTTGAAAACTGGGTCCATAATCAAAAATCTAAATACATGTTTAGATTCAGCATATCAAAGAACACTAAAAATTCAATTTTTGTTAAAATCAAACTTAGTTTTATAATTTTGGACCCTTTGGACCTTAATGTAGACCAATTTGAAAACGGAACCAAAAATTAAGAATCTAAATACACAGTTAGATTCTGCATATCAAAGAACCCCAATAATTCAATTTTTGATGAAATCAAACAAAGTTAAATTTTGGACCCTTTGGACCTCAATGTGGACCAATTTAAAAACGGGGCCCAAAATCCAAAAACTTAATACACGGTTATATTCAGCATATTAAAGAACCCCAAGAATTCAAGAATAAAACCTCATTGAAATTGATCAAGAAATAAGCAATTTATAAGAAGTATCTTCTTTTGCACAATACTGTGCAATTGAATATTTCTTGCTATTGCGCAATACTGTACAATTGACAATTTCTTGCTATTGCGCAATATTGTGCTATTGGATATTTCTTGCTATTGCGCAATACTGTGCAATTGAAGATTTCTTGCTATTGCGCAATACTGTGCAATTGAAGATTTCTTGCTATTGTGCAATACTGTGCAATTGAAAATTTCTTGCTATTGCACAATACTTATTATATAAAAATTTACACATCCTGTTTGGTGTGTATCTCCTACCATATCATTATTATTTGCTTTTAAATATAAATCAGAAATAACCAACTTAAAATGGAAAATTTTAAAAGAAAAAAAAAAGGAAAAAAAGAAAAAAAAAAAAATCCCCCCCCCCCAAATTTTTTGAACCCCCTTATGATTCATCACCCCCAAACTCAATCCCAGCCTTCCCTTTGTGGTATGGTACCTTGCAGTACAATTTCAGAGAGATCCATACACTTGAACACAAGTTATTGTCTTGAAACTAGAAAAATGCTTATTTTTGGCCCCTTTTTGGCCCCCAATTCCTAAACGTTTCAGGCAATTACCCCCGAACTCAATTCCAGCTTTCCCTTTGTGATATGAAACCTTGTAGTACAATTTCAGAAATATCCAAACACTTACACACAAGTTATTGTCATGAAACTAGAAAAATGCTTGTTTTTTGCCCCTTTTTTGGCCCCTAATTCCTAAAATTTTGAGGCAATTATCCCCAAAATCAATCCCAGCCTTCCCTTTGTGATATGGAACCTTGTGGTACAATGTCAGAGAGATCCATACACTTACACACAAGTTATTGTCTGAAAGTTACAAAAATGCTTATTTTTGGCCCCTTTTTGGCCCCTAATTCCTTAACTGTTGGTACCATAACCCCCAAAATCAATCCCAACCTTCCTTTCGTGGTATTGAACCTTATGGTAAAATTTCATGGAGATCCATTCACTTAAACTAAAGTTAGAGTGCGAAAACCAATGTGTCTTCGGACGACGCCAGACGACGACGACGACGCCAACGTCATACCAATATACGACCAAAAATTTTTTACACCAAAATTTTTTTAATTTTTGCGGTCGTATAATTACCAATTCAACTTTGTAATTTGATATTTGAACATTATTTTTATCTGTATACATATTGATTTTGTTATCAATAAATTAAAACCCACCTAAATACTATTTTTATACACATATGTAGTATTATGTACATTCACAGTCTTCAATTTGTACATGTGGATACCTATATTATGGCATTGCAAAAGGTCATATATTTTTTTATTAGTTGTTATTGGCTTTGAACTAGCTTTCAGTAACTGTGAGTACTCTCAGATCTGTACTTTGTGCCTTTTTTTTTTTATCTTATTTCTTTTTTTGGTGGTTTGTATGGATCTGAGGAGTTAAGGTTCATGTGGACCCTTTGGCTAAAATGGTAGCATTTTCATCTCAAATTTTACTCTGAGTACAGACAAACCTGTGACTCTGGATGAGTTTTAAGCAATAGCATTCCCTAGATAAAGAAAATTTAAATATATTTTATGTTTTAGAAAAATAAAAACTTAACAGGATTTTGCAGTGCACTTTTTTTCATTCCTCCAGAAGGTGCCAAAATAAACTAAGTTGGGAAAGAGGTTTGAGAACTTCCCCACAGGCAATAATTGAAGTGAACTGTATTGATTGACATGGACAATAGATACCTGACAATAATTGGTGATTTAAACTGTGTACCTGAGTGGACCATAATGAAGTGAAACTCAACTGTTTGTTAATTTTATCATCTTCTGCAGGGACGAAAAAAGTGCACTGGAAAATCCAGTTAAGTTTTAAATTTTCTAAAACATACAATGCATTTGAATTTAATTTTATCTAGGGCATGCTATGCCTTAAAACTTTTCTAGATGCACAGATTTGTCTGATCTCCGAGTAAATTATGAGGTGAAAAAGCAGCCATTTTAGCCAAAGGGTCCACTTGAACTGCAAGAACTTTTCAACAGGCATTAGCAAACTTGTTTAACCCTGCTACATTCTGTTTGTGTCTGTTGCAAGACAGGAGCCAGTTAATTCAGTGGTTGTCGTTTGTTGCTGTATATCATATAAAAAAGAAGATGTGATATGATTGCCAATGAGACAACTCTCCACAAGAGACCAAATGACACAGAAATTAACACATGTAGCCAGTGTAGGTCACTGTACCATGCATATTTGTTTTCTGTATATATTTTTTGTACAGAAACCAGGCTGTGAGTTTTGTCTTTTGAACAGTTGAAGAGTTTTACCTTTGTAATTTCGGAGCCTTTTATAGCTTACAATGCGTTATGGGTATTGTTCATTGTAGAAGGCCGGTACAGAGACTTATAGTTGCTAACTTCTACGTCATTTAGTCTCTTGTGGAGAGATGTTTCATTGGCAATCATACCACATCTTCTTATTTTTATATATCAAAGATTTGAAGAAAGACCATCGCTGGTGTTGTTTCAGAATGTAGACAGCCACATAAACCTGAGGCAGGATATATAATATTCACATATTTCATCTGCATAATCCATTGAAGATATAAATACTTACGGCTATTTTACATCAGTAAAACCGTAAAAATGTGCACATGGGAAAATTGTCAGCTGTTTCGCTGTTTGTTTACGTTTCTATTGTGTACTGTTAATTTACATGTAAAGATTGGGTAACATCAGTTTGTACTGGATGGGCTTTTTAAATTTTGAACAATCCACCTTTTCAAATTAAACATTCAAGACTTTTTACTATTAATTCGAATGCAAATAGATATACCTACCTTCTTTGTACATTAAAAAAAAAGAAACTACTTTGACAACTACACACATAATCACCACTTTGTGGCAATACAAAAGGTTAACTCGCCCCATAGAGAACTTTCTCGCCACATGTTAGTTCATTTTGAAGATACCTTGCCAATAGAAAAAAAGTATCGTGAAAACAAGTATACAGGCAAATATTCTTAATGGGTTTCATATAAACATATCTGTACTATATTGATAGTTTTCTGAGTTCAAATAAAATTGAGAATGGAAATGGGGAATGCATATGGCAAAATTTGGGGTAATTTGCTAATTTGCATAGCGGCCATTTTGCCTTATCATGACGGCAGCCCTTACAATAGGATTATATAAGCCCTTTTAATAAAAATGCCAATATGCAAATATCTATGTCGAATGAACAATTTGTTCGCATATAGGTGAATTGTACATGTTTTTAGGCTTCTGTCCGTGTACAAATGGACATTGTCTACTCTCAAATCTTTCGGCCTTTTTAGTTTAAAAATCGGAAGCGTAACCATTGTGTAATTGCTATTTAAGATCAAATAAAATGACGTAAAATCGTAAAATAGCAAGATTCAAAACAGAAATACACATGCAAGAAGATATTGTTCATGATTTGTTCGCATATAGGGAAACACCTTGTAGGTTGAATTTTAAAGTTAAATAACTTTTAACTTACCTGCTTTCTTAAGTTTTCGGCCAAATTCTTTTAAAAACATGATGATTTCAACCTTCCCATTTCGTAAAAAGTCAAATTTTAAGCATTTTCCCTTAGAATTACACAACATTTTTGTAAATATCCGCCAAAGGAAGTTTTTAAAGATACATTAGTTTTAGATACATGACGGAAAAGGACTGGATTATCCGCAAATCTATAATAAATTAAATTTTCAATCTTAAGCTAAGGGAAGTAATTTGATCAAAAGGGACAAAGTCACGTGGTGCAAATGATTTAAATAAAGTACCTTTGATTTTGCCATATGGTGTCAAAGAGACAACAACCCGACCATAGAACAGACAACAGCAGAAGGTCACCAACAGGTCTTCAATACAGCGAGAAATTCCCGCACCCGGAGGCGTCCTTCAGCTGGCCCCTAAACAAATATATATACTAGTTCAGTGATAATGAACGCCATACTAAACTCCATATAAATTCCAATAATGTTTAATACCTCTAGGTTTCAGTCTTGAATAAAAAGACAATGAACTTGGCACTTATGTTTAACATTTCGAATTTTTTATACAACTTATATCACATATCAAACTTGTATCGTAGAACTCTTTTCTCAAGAGATTTTAATGGGGACATTTACAAATACAATGTTCTTCGTCTACAACGTGCATCTCCAAAAATCCCCAACGTGCATTTTTTACATAACCTTCGTGATTTGTCAATATAGCTTTTTGCATATCTATCCGTCTCTATTTGATAAATATAGATTCTACCACTGCATCGAGTGATACGATATTTATCCACTAGAGACAGTTAAATTTTCAAATTTAAAACGCGAGGCTCGCCGAGCGTTTTAAATATTTAAAATTTAACTGTCGAGAGTGGATAAATATCGTATTACACGAGATTTGGTGGTGGAATCTGTTTCTCTAATGATTTTCAAACAATACGCAGGCAAATGTATTCCTTCTTTTCGAATGATCTGCAAAAAGATGTGTTCTAACTTTCTATGTGACGTCATCAGGCATGGTCGCCTTTTTTCATGCCGTCACAATAGGAAATTCAGAGGAAAGCAAGAAAATTCGACGTCATAATCGGATTTTAACCAATGAAGAACTGAGATCAAACGAACCACACGTTGATTAATTTTTTTTTATACAATGGGTGCAGAAAGGGATAAATTGACGAAGAATTAGAGAAATGATCATATATATGAAACCCAGATTAGTAGGACCCTCCACTATGGTTAGCCGTCCTACTCAAGATTATATTTTTGTACTTTTTTTTACAGTAAAATTCGATTATTGAAGCCTTATTCAATATACACACCGACAGAATTACTGAAGACTAGCATACATTCAGGTACATGGTCCAACCATGAATTCGTTAGTTGTCTTATGTATTTTTATCTTAATGTTTTCGTTATTATTTTGAGCCTTTGGTGCATGTTAATGGCAGACATTCCATTCAATTGATTCACAACTCATTAGTAACTGGATTATTCAACATTTAATTGCCATACACTGTTGGTTGAAGTCCGAGATTGTTAAAGACATCTGGCTGGTTTTTTTTGATTATTTGTTCTGACTGGTAGATATCAGAACAATCTTAGATTACTAGCATATAGGTTGTTGTCTCTTGACCGGGAACATCTCTCTCTCATTATTTGCTGACCGTTAAGGGTGACTTGGGAATAGAAATATGGTCACTTTCGTCTTCTTCCGACCAGCAGTAAAATCATAGCCGGCGTCCGTTTGGTCAAGTTGTGCGGGGTCTACAAGTACGCAGCCACGTCCGGTCAGAATAGGGGCGTTGGACGTTAAATCCTATGTCTCGTGTAAAGATAGTGCCACGCTCTCTGAACGTTAAGAACCCTTGCAACAACTCTTTAAGGGGTCCGTATATAGGTGGCCTATTGCAAGACAAAACTTCTATCCTGATCCAATATACTCTCATTTTTCCAAATTTCCAGGCTTCATTCCGGACGGCTTCTATTACAGGACCTACATTTTGTATTTATTTGGTTATTTTTTCTCGTCCTGAACATGCGTGAAATATTTGCTACTAGACGTTAAGCAACCAACAATCAATCAATCATTATTTCAACTCATTGCATGTCGCATGCATATTCAGTGAAGTGTGTAAAAGAGTTCTTTTCTTTTCTTTAATATGTTAACATAGACTTGTAAATGGATTGCTATTATTAAGTAGATAAATAAATGTATTTGTACCGAGATTCGAACCAGAAGTTCTTACTTTCAACTATAGTATCGGCGGATTATCTTTAGCAGTGTGGATGGTGCTACGGATGACGGAAAGAACTTCCGATTGAATACAGTGTAATAATTTTTGACGCCAAATACATTTTATTAAAAATTATAATAATACAACTTATAATAGTACAACTATATTACTACTAGATGCTTAGATTTTATGAATTTTTAATATGAAAGAAGAAAAATAAAATCGATACAGAAAAATTATATTTTAAAAGTGGTGATCCCAAATAAAAGTAAGTGATTTGACTGAGATTAATTTTCTGTCTTTTATTTACAAACCAAGTATTCATTTTCTTTTGTTTTTTTCTTGTTCATTAGTGTGTCTTGCTTTATGTACTATTTCAGATTTGCCTCTGAATTTTGAATGTCGAAATTGTGGCTGTTTTATGACGAAGAAGCTATAATATCACTTAATCAAAACTCATTTAAAATATTTCATAGTGATTGATAAAGTAAACATCAATTGTTTTTTTCCCATATTAGAGTTTTCTGACAATTGATCAAAACTCTTTGAATCGGAAGAAATCAATATATAGTCGGAAAGAAATATCTGCGCATGTTGTAACCATGATCGATTCTTGCTAATGGCTGCTGATATAAACATAAAGAGATGATTCCGTTGTTGATTTTTATAATATTTACTAGCTTTATGCAGATAAATGGACAGACATCTTTAGAATTACAGTATTGTTCTTTTTTCAACAATCGAGCACCAAAACCACAACCAAGTTTGAAAAACTGTACATGGTTCCGTGAAAACTCCTGTTGTATGCAAGAAGAAATTGACGCTACATTTGGTAGAGTCAAACCTTTAGTTGGAGCCTCTCCGGATTGCCTTAGATACACTAACTATCTAATGTGTTATATATGTGACCCTTTGCAGGATAAATTTTATTGCAGAGAAAGATTAACGGTATGTGAAGATTTCTGTGATTCTTGGTACAAAGCATGCGGTTCTGCCATTCTGAAAGGCTCCATTATTAACTCTCTGTACACTAATGGTGGTAATTTTTGTGAAAGTAGAAGTTTTTTAGTTGAAAAGAACACCGATACATGTTTTCGTGTAGACAGTGCATTGGATAGCATAAACTCAGGAAATTCTCTTCAGAATAATATTGGATTATTGATTATTGGTTCACTTATATTCAGTAAACACTTGACATATATGAACTAAACTTTTGTATAGAATACAATATCTTTATTGAACTAATTTATTGTAAACATACATAAATGAGAACTAATGTATGCATACCTATATTGACATTTCAAATTTGCCAAATTTAATACTGAAAATGCAAATTAAATATCAACACAATAAAAGAAATGCAAATGCTTCGAAGGTTGCTTTATAACTCGTGTAGATACTTTCACTTTGAAGTTAACATATAGAATGTATACACTGTTTTACTGAGTGGTTTGTAACTTACATCGATGAAAGGTCGCAATACATATCCATGAGTCCCTATTTTAGAGTACTACATACTAGCTTATGGTTTTTGTTTTTCTATCAACACTATATATTCAATCAGCTCGGGGTGGCTTATAATATTATTAAAATTCTCCAAAACACTTCATTAATACAAACACGCTCATTCTTCCAATGTGTATTGCAATAATAGTTCAAATGCACACAACATCGTACTTATTACAGAATGACTGGGTTAAAAACGTTGGCTCCTTTGTTAATAGTTTCACTGATTCCTCTTAACAATGTTATATTGTTGTACACCAATTGTTTTTTTTTAAATACATGTATATTAGAAGTGAAAGAATGTTGTAAATGATTTTCAATACAATTTATAATAAAATATAGTGATATGTAAAAAATAAAAATGATATAGAAAACAAGGTTGTTTTTTGTCCTTGTTTTTAAAGCCTTTTGTATAAGGGAGCTACCATTTGATTTTTATGGGGCTAGGATTAAATCTGAAAAAAAGGCAGGACAGAAGTTTTGAGTAAAAAAAAAGGCAGGATGAGCAACTTGGCCAAAAAAAAGGCAGGATGACAAATTATGTATAAACAGTCAGGATAAACTAATAAAAAAAAAGGCAGGACCGAATAAAGTGAAATATAAAAAGGCAGGAC